AAAATAACTGAGCTTCGGTGCTGAACTCTCATCCCCAGCCCATAATAAGTGAAACACAGCATATACAGGGAATAAGGTACAATTGAGTTCATTCAGTTTATACTGTTTCTCAGAAAAGCTTTAAAGGAGCAGGCTGTGAGACTAAGTGTCCTTCACTGTCCTCCCAATGACTACACAGTCAGATGTTCTTGTTAAGTGTATTTCCTTTGATACACCACCTTTTTGGTTGGGTTTTGTGGTTTGATTGTTCCTGAATTACCTTTTTTGAAGAATTTTTCTTAGACAAAATAGCAATTAATGTCTTTAGAGAAAGCAGAGCTTTTCAGCAATGATTTGGTTGCTCTCTCTTGAGCCAAATGATACAAGATCTACCTTCTAAATCCCCTCTCAGCAACATCGAGGCCTGAATGGATTTCATTATCATATGATGTAAAATATGGGTCTCACACAGTCATATTCATGCACTTTCAGAGCAATTATCTGCTCTTTCGATTGGGTGAGGACTGGGCCTTGATGTATCATTTTGAACATAAACCATGTAGCTCACAGTTCATTAAATCAGTATGAGAAAAGTAGTACAGTAAACCCAATGTCCAGACTTTGTAAAGGAACAGTGGCAGCTTCCAAACTGAAAGTGGGTCAGCTGAGGTGCACACCGAGCAAGACAGAAGCTTACAGGCATCTTTAGGAGACCATGGGCTAAGGCAGCAGAGCACTGGGACTACCAGGATAGCTACACCTCCTCCTTGCACTGACACCATAGTTACAATACCTGAACAAACCTGCCTAGAGACACCTAATAAACTCACTTTGTTTTCACACCTTTAAAAACAGATGTGTGGTGCAGGCTGGACGTCAGTATCTGTTATGTTTTGTCTTCAGCTGCTGGTCATCTGCACGGATTAGTGAGAACTCCCATGGGAAGAGAAGACCACTCTACCTGTGTTGGATGAGTGGATCAGGGTGCTCTGTGGGTCTGTATCTCAAGGCTGAGCTCTTGTGAGGATTTGCTGATCTGCTGATTTGCAGAGGATGTCTTGGGTTCCCCTACCTTCTCCATAAGCTGCTTTCATGAGGAGTTTTGGGGCACTCTGCCACACACATGGCTGGGACTGGGTTGTGAGTTTAGCATTCGTAGAGACAGGCCAACAGAGAGGCACTACAAAAAGGTGGAAAGCTGGCGTGCTCATCTGAGCCTTCCCTATAGACGAAATCAGACCAAAAAAGGCTTTTGAGGTCAACTGTTAACCTCGCAATGCCAAGTCCACCACTAAACCATGTCCTTACGTGACACATCTGCACCTCTTTTCAATACCTCCAGGGATGGTGACTCAATCCCTTCCCTGGGCAGCCTGTTCCGATGCTTGACAACCTTTCTGGTGAAGAATTTTTTCCTAACATCCAATCTAAATCTCCCCTGGTGCCATTTGAGGCCATTTCTTCTCATCCTATCACTTGTTACTAGGGAGAAGAGACCTACGCTCACCTCTCTACAACCTCCTTTCAGGCAGTTGTAGAGAGCGATAAGGTCTCCCCTCAGCCTGCTTTCAGTCAGGCTCAACAACCCCAGTTCCTTCAGCTGCTCCTCATGCTGCGGTCACGCTGTGATCCTATGCTGCGATCAAGTACCAAGTTTGGAAAACATCAGCACCAACACAGGACTTTGGAGAAGTGAGACAGGAAGGAAATATTTTCTCATTAAAAAAAATGCTAAAATGCCTGCTTTAAGCTACCACAGAAACAAAAAATGAAGATGCTGGAGTTACTAAAAGCCTGATTGTCCAGTTGCAAGGGTTAATTCATTTTTCAGTGACAAACTGAGCTGGATGGTGCCATAAATGGATCATGAGCTTTTGCAGAGCTTTTCTCCCCCTGTACAAGAGGAAAGACTGCTGACTGCCAACACAGCTTTGTTTGCATGTTCGGTTCAGTCAGCTGATGGCCACTGCCCCGTGTGATGTGAGATACAGATGATTTCTTCCCAGAAGGGGATTTGTCCACCCTCAAGCAGAGTTCCCTCAAGAGACCATTGGTAATGGCAGACAGCGTTTACTTAAAGTAGATGGTTGCCAGAACAAGATCATTTCATTTTCCTTTGCTGGTTTGGCCAAAAGCCAAGCTCATTCTTCAAATCCCTTTTTTTACCCCTTGATTTTAAGGTTCCTGTGAGCAGTGATTAACAATTCCTGTACTTGTGTCGATGGCAGTGTGATAGCAGTGCGAGCGTGCCAGCTCTGTCACAGTCTAGACATGCAGGTACACATGATGTGTTCACGCCCTGTCATCTGACAGGCCTGCAGGTAGCAGAGATGTATATCTCCTCAATGAGTTTTAATAACTGAGGTGCTAAAGCTGTGAAGTACCAAGCACCTCCTACCCACCCACTTCTTCGTCAGACTAAGCCCTAAATCTCTCCGAATGTGTGCTTCTTTGCTGGGAGAATATTTAGGCTATAATTTAAATCTTTTCTCTTTTACAGCTGCACAATTCGGTTCAGTTACTTAATTTGCAAAGCTTTCTCAGAGACCAAGAATAATAATGTAAAAACTATAAAGTTAATTTAAGATCTGATGATGATCAGCCAGTTTCAAGCTGATACATACTCCTCAGTATTTCAGGTGGGCTCATTTTCATAGCTACAGTTGGGACACTTGGAGAAATCTCAGTTTTCAGATGGTACTTTCAGGCTACACTTCTCATACTTTTCCTTGGCTTTTTTATTCTTCTCTTCACTCCTTTTACATCTCTCTTTCTCCTGCCTCTTTCTTCCCTTCTTACACAGCATTTTCCTCTGCTCTTTTCTTGCTGATGGTGTCTGCTACAGCCACAACACAAGCGGATCCAACCATTTCCTGTGTCAGCCCTCCAAGAATGTGTAGTCTAAAGTGCAAGAGCTGAGGAAGAAGAAGGGAAGGACCAGAGCATCACAGCACGGCCACCTTTTAGTCATTACCCCAGCCTGGGTGGGTTTCCACTCCTCTAACCACAGGCCTGATCCTTCGTGCCCCCAAACTCTATTTACAACATGTTTAATAATTTCCACCAGCTGGCCCTTATTGAGGGTGTCACTCAATGTTTCATGTAACAATCTCATGTATCAAATGACATGGCAAAAAATTCCGTCCTAACCAACGTTATTGTTTTTAGGCTGATAATTTTTTTGTTTTTAATTAACAGGAATTTGTTGTGAGCAGTTTTCCTCTGGAGGTCCTCAAAACCCTGTTGGGAATGGGTGTTCAAACCTCCTTTCTCTACAGCAGACTTTAGATCAGGCCCCCAGTGCTGAAACAGTTTGAAGGTCACTTTTCGCTTCTAGGATCAACAACCTGGAAACAAAGGAATGCTACTGAAGTTAATGTCCCACATGGTTTAAAAAATAATTGTGAATGGCTTAGAAACCTGACATGTCAATTTGGAATGTAGTTGATTTAATAACAACAAAAAAATCAACAATCACATGAGGACGCTGCACTCATTTTTTTGCATAGTCTGTTACAGACTTTGATTTATGCTCCCTCTCCTTTCTGCCAGATAATGAGGACTTAGTTCAAACAAGCATGGTATCCCTAAGGCTATTGCCTTCACCCCTTTCCTTGGCTGGCAGTAGGAGGGAAGATTGGCTCCAGCCAGGAGGGTGCGGAAGCATGGAGTCTATGTATGTAAGATGCACAGGACTGGACATCAGAGCCTGGGTTACTGAGAGAAATGCTGGCTGGGGTGCTCTGGGTAGTGACAATAGCTTAAACAGCTAATAGAAAATTCTAGAAAAGTGGAAGAAACTAAGAACAACTAAAACTAAAAATAGTAAGTAGTCTCAGTTCTGAAACCTCCTTCCATTGGGCAATGTCTTCGTTGTGTTGACAGTGACTTGGACTTAGAGACTTCCACCGGCCCTGCCCAAAACAAAAATGGTTTAATGTTGCCCAACTTGTTGGTTTCTGGCTGGCCAATGTCTCACTTGCCAGTGCTATACTTTGGCATCACTGAAACCACTCCTGAACTCCGTACTTGCTTCCATGCCATGTTGTCTCACCAAAGCTTGTTCTTTGCTGCAAACAAAACCTCACAAGGTTGCCAGAGCTGCACAAAATTGAGTTGCTGCACTGCCTGCAAAAGAACACCCGGGCTGGTGAAGCATGTGGAACCCAAATTTGAGCCACTAAGTGCAGTGTTTGCAAATCTGCCTGCATTACGCTAGTCCTCTTGAGCCATTGGTTATACCTTGTTACTGGCTTGGGCAGCAAAGTCTATTTTTCCTGTATCTCAACACACCATGAAGTATATACAGTGAAGTACTTGTCTGTGAGTACGTCACGGCAGCTTGTAAGCTAGATATTGACTGGCCGTCACTATATAAGGTCTGTGGTCGCACCTCACACATCGTATTGTGCAGTTGTTGTTGGATGGTGCATGCATGTGCCCACTAAATGTTTAAATAACGTTTTCCTTAACAATTAACTCTCATCAGGAGCCAAGGCCAGGGATGTGGTAGAATTGGCCAGTCTCCATTTAGTCCACAGTTGTTGCCCAGCATGTGGGGAGAGACACATGGTTAAGTAGTGATGGGTCCAGCAAATGCAGTGAGCTGTTGCAGTAATGCTTGTAAATCAAGCTGGGGCAAGAGTTAATTTGGATTTCTGGAAATAAGTGTTCCTAATTTAAAAACAAATTAAGTACAAAAATTGATCATAGTGCAAAACCAGTATAAAAATGCCTGCGAGGTAAATGGTGTGGCTCCAAACAGGTCTCTCAGAAATCCCAGGGAATGCTGAAAGCAAAAGGAGTGAGTCATAAGCACATGAGCTGAAAGAAGCTGAATACAAAATCATGCATCTCTGCTTAATTCCATCACATGATGAGTCCTGGGGCCCTTCATTTAATCGGAGAGCAGAGCGGTGGAGAAACTTCATTCTCACTTCTCAGTGGGGACCGGAGGAGTTACCGTGTGCAGGCACCGGGCACTCTCTGCTCCTCTGAACCAGTGCAGGGTCTCCAGCACCATGAGTGGTCCTCGCCGCCACCTCGGATTCCTGCTCCTGGCTGAAGCGGTGCTGTGTGCTGCCGCCACACGTGAGTGCTTCCTTCACCCTGTCCCCTCACCCTGCCCCTGCGGGTTCGATGTCCTCAGCCAGTGCAATAAGAATGGCTGCTCCATGCAGGTGCAGCGGTTGCTGCAGATGTGCTTGGGAAGCAGGAGGTGACAGCTAGCTCCACTTGGGTTGCCTGGCTCTGGGTAGAAATGTCACTTGAGCTGGAAAATATTCCAAGAGCTGTTCATTTATCAATTCCCTGAGCTCCGCAGATACACAGAGCTGACAGGAGCTAAGCCTTGGCTCATTTCAACACATTTCTAGCAACAGTTCCCCAGTTGAAGCGTGGCAAGAAGGGCACATGTACAATGGATTTCTCCCAGTTTTCTCAGCTCAGCTGTGGCTGGGAGAAGCCAGGTCAGAGGCAGTGCTCCCTACTGGGACCCCCCGACCTGTGGATCACCAACCTCAGGGAGCCCAGTCAAGGAATTAAACCCTCAAGCCACGGTGAACAGGCACTGCATCAGTCTTCTGCTTTTTTCTGGGCTCCCAGCTTGACTCAGGTCTTAGGTTGAGTTCCTGAGCTCAGGGCTGAGAATCCAAGAAATGGGATTTCAGGCTTAAATTACAGAATCTACAGTAAGGAAACTCAAGGCGTTAAAAACTGAGGTCCAGCTGAGGATCCATCTAGCCATGTACCTGTTTCCAGTGGGACACAGTAGTAGATGTATAACCAGGCAAGTGTATACTGGTATTCACTCAGGACACTTCTCCAGCACCAGAAGTATCTCTGTCAGATGCAGAGTCACTGTATTTAACAGTTTTTCCTGGACTTTTCTTCCACCCATTCATGCACATGGGTTTTGATTGCAACTGTGTAAATTTTTGACACACACACAATATGCTGCCAGCAAGAAATTTCACACCTTAACTGTGCCGTATGTGAAGAAATAGCCTTCATGCGCCTAGAACCTGTAACCTGCTGGTTTCATTTCATCCTTCTTAACTTTTGTACTTTCAGAAATAGTGACAAATTGCTTCCTCCTCCATGGTGTTCATCATTCTGGCTTTGTATTCTCCTCTCTCACCTCTTCTCCAGGCTCAAGACACAGTCTATTTAGCTGTTCCTCATATAGAAACAATTCTAGCCCTTTGTAGCATCCTCGCCACCTATTTCTGAATTTTTCCAGCTTCCTTATACCCTGCTTGAGCTGCAGAGAACAGAGCAGTGAACAGTATTCAAGACATGAACACACATGGAATTTTACAATGCTGTAATGGCAATTTCATCTTTGTTCTCTATCTAGCCTTTTCCTAGCTCTACAGCTACCAATGAGCACTGCATTCAAAACTGTAAAGCTACAAGATCCTGCTTCTGAGTGGCGATAGCTAGTTTAGAGCCCCTCGTTCTGTAAGTTACATTTGACTATGCTGAATTTCATACAGCTTTATTCTTGAGTCATGGAGTTTCTTACAGTCCTCCCCTCTATTACTTTAAGATGCTCTCTTCAGCAGCTTAAATCTGTTTTCCAGATTATGAACATTTAAAATTATTTCAACAATTGAGAAAACTGGACATTATTCATAACTTTTGGTTCATATAACTTAACCAATTATTTATTCATGTGAATTCCTTCATTCTTTCCCCATGGTAACTTAGATCCTTTATGTGCCTTTACTGAGGGACCTCATCAAATGCTTTCTGGAACTCAAGCAGACAATAGCAAGCAGGTCAGCCTTGCTCCCATGCTCTCTGGCTCCCTCAGTGTAACTCTAATACGTTTGTGAGGAACGCACTGCTCTCGCTGCATATCATATTAATTCATTGTATCTGCAAATTCTGTTCCTCACTGCTGTTTTTACAAGCTTCTCCAATTTGAGCCTCAAACTTTTTGTAATCCTGTAAATCTTCCCTGGAAGTGTTTTTAAAACAGTTTTTAAACACTGTCATCACATTTGCCAACTTTTGTTTCTTGGCCACTAAAGCAGTTTTAAGCAAGATGTTACATGCTATGGTTAATAGCTCATTTATTTCACTCTTGAACAACGTCCATACTTTTCAGCCATCCTATCTGGCCAACTTCTTCATTATTTTGGTTTCTTCTATTATTTTATTTTTCTTTTCTGCCAACACTTCATTTTGAGAGAGATTCTCCATCATTGTAAAGAAAAATTCTAGCACTGAAACCTCTTATGCTCCTCCTCTGTGAATGAAAATTTAAACTAATATATTGGACTTTCATGCTATCCCTTTATTATCCCTGAATGCTTCTTTTGTGTCTACATCATCTTTCACCCCTACAGACTTTCTGGCAAGCTCTCCACTACTTTTGTATTTGAAAAAAATAAGACTAATAAGTTTTATGGTTTTGCAAGTTGTTCCTCAAAGTCTTTTTTTGTCCTGCTTTATTATGTTTCTATACATAACTTTAGAAAGCTTGCATTATTTTCTGTCATCTTAGCTGGGCCATAACATCAGCTTTTTTACTTCTAATACACTTTCAACCTCTTTAGCTGGGTCATCTTTTTGTTGCTGTTATTACAGCATTGGCTTTTGTTCTCTCTGTCATGGCTAACACACTATCACAGGAAATGCTGAACTTCTTGTCTTTGCTACATTTTTCACCAAAATGAAAACCAGAATGAGAAGGAAGAAAGTCAATCAGAGTGTAAGATCTTTTCTCCTATGATCACCTCACCAAAACTATTACAGTAATCAGTTCCTTTGAGTGTAATATTACTCTCTCTATTTTGAAGTGAATTGCTCTAATTTTGGTTATGACCAACATCTGTTCTTGAGTGGTTTTCATTGTTAAAGAAGAAATACATTAAAGCTTTTGGTCCTTTAAATTCAGCAACTGAAAATCTTCAGTTCCATGTGTTAGAGAAACCAGTACTGAAGTCTTTGCTCATCCAAAAAAATGTCATTGTCTTGTCCTGAAGCTTGTAAAATATTTTATATTCGATTGAAATAAACAAAGCACATCAGGGAGGCACAGAAATGCCTGAGGAGCTTGTGATTTAGGAGCAGTGACCACAGTTATTACTAAAGCTGGACAAGAAAATGACTTACGAATTCAAGGTTTGTTATTGAAAATTCAAAATTAAAAGCATTTATAAAATTAAAAGTGCTCCAGCTCTTATTGATAACTCAAGCATTTGGGAAAAAAAGCAATGATCGAAATGTTTTGATCTGACAAAAACCAAAAGAGTTTTATTTATTAAATATTTTTTAGATAAAATCAAAGAGAATGAGAAAAGGAAATAAGGAAAAATCCCTAATCACTTACTTTCAAATAAGATGGCACATTAGTTTAATGACCTAAAATATAATTGAACTTAACAAGCCTTTGTGAAATACTTTTATAGTTGCTAATCTGCTTTTTTCCTGATAAAAGTTTCTAAGGGACATTACCCAACTGCCCTTCTGACCAAGACTGAAAACAATACAGCATGTGATACAGGCCATTAAGTAAATACCAGTCATGATGCTTTATGCTTTGCTCACATCAGAATATATTAAATCTGGAGGAAATACTTGATCAAGTGATTTAAGTGAGACTGTGGGGCGCTGCTGTAGGGCAAAAGACCGTGGGAGAGCATGTCTCTGCGTGCAAAATTTGTTCCCTTCCTCAAACCTTTCTGTCCTCCAGACTGGGGAGAGAGTTACCAGCATTATTCAGAGTGACCATTGAGATGGGACTGGCCAAGGAGTATCCTTCCTGCCCAGCAGAAATTTCACTGGGCAATGAAACATCAAGAGAAAGCAGCTCCTCTTCAGAGCTGTCTCTCTGGTTCTCCCTTGCAGTAAAATTAGGAGTCACATACCCATAAAGGCTGTGCTTAGACTGGCTACACCTGCTCTGTGCCTTTTCCAAAACTCGGAGGAATTCCAACACAGCCAGTTATGTTACAGCACACAGGGATATTTTTGCCCTTCTGCCTCTGCATTTTGCTTGAAGTCATCCAGCTCTTTGTTGTACTTGAGTATAAACCTCAGAAGCATTCAGCATCAGCTACCTTTAAAATGAAGCCACGAAAAGCAGAAATCCCTTGATGTTGTGACTGAATGGCACGCCCAGCAGTTATTTGATTAACATGACAGAGTTGTTTAAAGCCTCCAGGCATTCATGGAACCCTGCCTACAAGCCTACTTAGGAACATCTTTTTATGGCATCCTACAGTGGTTGACGTGTTCCTACAGGTTACTTGGCTATTTACTTTGTTATTCATTATGTGTACTTTGTGACAGAAAGAGGGATCCTAGAAGGCCTGGGAAAAGCTTGAGTCCGTCATTTGTAGTTCTATGAGAAGAAAGAGGTTATTAAAGTGATTTAATATCTCAGCCATTTAAAAGTAATAGGCATGAAGCTAATATGTTTTTGTTGTTGTATTATAAACACACTGAATTTACTATTCAGCTCTAAATTTCCTTTTCTGGGAATACCAGCTTCTGTTACAATTGATTCCACTCCTCCCACCCAAACCACTAGCCAACTCACCAAAGCAGCTTCCCTGGGTCGAAATTAATTCCTGGCATAACTTCCACTAGAGCACAATTCAGACACAGAGTGAATTTATCCTGTTAGCGTTTTACTTATAACATTATTAGTAGGCAAGCACAAAGCCATCAGCAATCAAGCAATATCCGTACAACTAACCTGACTGTTGCAGGGTTATGTCGAGTCATACGATCAATTGCTCTGATATGGTCAAAATGTTTTAGACCTTTTTATTCTTTCTCTGGAAAGCTTGCACCAGTGCAAGTAAAAACATGTCAGTCTGACAATGGTGGAATTGTCTTTGTATTGGTTATAGTTGATGTATTTATAGGTGCAATGATAAAACTCCATAACTCTCTAGTGAAGAGTTTTCTAATCAGAACAAGAGTATAGTCATAATAGGAAGGCTGTTCAGCACAAAAGCAATTCCTTTTAGAGTGGTAGGGAAAATGCTATTACATGGCATGTTCATTTCTCTCTCCAGGGTTTCAAGATGTGCTGAGCCAGGGAAGTACTTCTCCTGTCACATCCTACAGGAAGCTACAAGGCTGGTCTAGTGATCAAAATAAATGGAATGAAAAGCTTTACCCTTTCTGGGAAGAAGGAGATCCCAGATGGAAGGACTGCTGGAAAGGTGATCACACATATGCATTTCAAACACACTGAGAAAATCGGCCAGAAAATCCACCTCACTGAAGTGCACAGGTGCTATAGTGCTTTTTCATTGGGGCAATATCCATCACTGCTGCTAGGAATAACAAATTAGAGACAATTGGCTTTGTACCATTCCCAGGGCATTTTCTGAGGAAGCAGAAGAGTGAGTTGTTACAGGAAATGCCTTCTCATGACTCATAGGCTCAGACATTAATATTTATGAAGTATTGATGGCTCTAGGACAATCCATTATTTGAAACATGCCCTAGAGGACCGGTAGCTTCAACTGCCACCTTGGTAGGGCATTGCCGGCTTTAGCTTGACAACTTCAGTGAAGACCCTGTTTATTATCACCTGGCCTGAGCTGAGGTCTAAAGGCTGTATCCCTGAGGAGAGAAAAAATATTCTCCTTTGACCCCCATGAGTAAAACCCCATATTCTTATCTCTAAGAAGGAAATTAATGACAGACCACTAAGTGAGGCTGGGAGAAATGATGAGTCCCTCTGATTGATTGTTCTAAGTTGGGGTTTTGATAAGAGTGCAAGTGACTTAGAAGCACAAACCCCCTTAGAAACAGAGGACGCAATAAAGCATTGCTAATGTAAATACTGCACAGCTGAAGGTAGCTGCTGCTCTGATGCATCTTTTACTGCAGTAAAGACCAATTTTCTTTTCTTCAGGAGGAAGGGTGACAGTCAAATTGGACACTGACAGCCCAGCACTGGTAGGATCCAACGTGACCTTTGTTGTGACTCTCCAGTTTCCCAAGTGCCAGAAGGAAGATAATGATGGCAACATAGTATATGAGAGAAACTGTACCCAGGGTAGGTAACTGCAGTCTCCCCGCACTGTGCACATGTCTGACTGTGCTGCTGGTGTGAACAGGCCATGAATCCTTGAAAACATTACAGGCGCTCCCTATGACATGTCATGTCGCTTTTAACAGGTAACTACACTCGTGTCTAACCTGTGCCACACCAGGTTCTCTCCTCAGAAGATCACTGTATGTTTACTGTTCTGTACCCACTATATGTAATGACCAACTAATTTAAGATTTGCCTTAACAAACCAGTGACATTAATTTGGCTTCCTAACAAAGCTGTTACTGCTCTTCAACTCAGTCACAAGGTTGCACAGTCACACTGTGTTCTCCCAAATTTATAAAGATGTCAATTTATACAATTGATTTATTGTTTTTTCCCAGTTGGGAATTGCAGAACATACTACCCATTATCTGCATCTTGAAAAACCCTCAGGAAAGAGTAAATCTCACATTCCCACAGCGTAAGAACTAAAAGCAAAGAATAAAATAAAGAATTTTAAAATAAAGCAATCTTTTCATCAGAGAATCACCTTCTTCATCTTATTTACCATCATACAAAAACCCCAGCCATAATCCCAATGTTAGAAGCTGCCAGATGTAGAGTGGAACAGGCTGCTGCACTTTTCCTCCTCTGAATTCATAAATGTTCAACAAATTGTGTTACAGATCAAAATCATTTCCATTTCAAGGCATGTCAGCAACTTTTTTTGTCAGCCTGAGTTCTACTTTTTGATTGCTTAATGTTTTGTTAACAGCTGACATCCATTCTCTACTTAAGATCTGTTGTGCTGTTTGGGGAGAGAAACTGCCTTCTCATTATTAAGAAAGGAACTGAAAGTCGTGCCCAAGTTATTTAAAGGTGTCATAGAAAACTCTTCTGGCAAAACGAAGTCAGTTCCTCACAGCGCTTCCATTGCTGCTATTGCTACTTACCATTTTAGATTCCACTTGCCAAAGGTTCAGGTAGCCCCATTAGCTCCAGTGAAACAGTAGCACCCTGTGTAGTCAGCAGCAAGTTTTGGGAAAGTAATTTTAAAATGTCTGGCCCATGATACAATAAAGTTTTTTTAAGCTTCTAAATAAAATAATGCCAAGCCAGAATAATTTTGTGTTTATGTTAAAAACCACAGCACAATTTTAGAAACACTGAATGTTTAAAACCTGGTGTTTAAGTGCAATAACTGCTGTAAACTGGGGTGTCTGCCTCCTGCTCCCTGACTTTCTGCACACTTCTCACATCCTATTTCTACACTTAGATTTTCCAGTTTCCCAGGATCAGCAAGTCTATGTCTACAATTGGACTGAATGGATTGACAACTGTGGCTGGGAAAACTGCACAAGCAACCACAGCCATAATGTATTCCCAGATGGGAGACCTTTCCCTCATTATCCTGGCTGGAGGAGAAGGAACTTTGTCTACGTGTTTCACACATTTGGTTAGTACTGTAACACATCCCTTGATTTGGCTGACGCTGCAAAGCTTATATTCATCCTGTATTTGTAGCTCTTTTGTCAAGTATGTGTTATTAGAAATCCTTTAAAAACAATTCCACACTCTTAAGTGGAGATCCCAAATTCATTCACCACATTCCAGAGAGGCCATCAGCTGCTTAGTCTGGCAATCATGGGTTACCAGGAGATTCTCTTTAAATCAGCATTCACAGTAGTAGTACTGAAGTGATTTCAGTAGCACCCAAGATCCTTTTCTAAGAAAGGTTAGTCAGATGATTTGTTTACCGCTCACTGCCACTTCAGATCCTTACCTTTAAGAGAGACCATAGTGCTGTATATCTTCAGACTGGTTGAATACTGCAGCACTTCTGGCCTCTGGGGAGGTGAAAACCGCCACTGACTGTGTGGTACTGATCTGGTTGTAGATGCTGATGTTCAGTGTTTTCATGTCCTGAGAATGTAACTGTTGGGCTATTCCTGCCGTTGGCTACGTACTAAATCTTAGTATTCTAAGTTAGCTTGGCTAAATCAGTATTATCATCAGTATCAGCATGAGTAGTAATAATAATAATGTCCCAAATTTCAGGTAGAGGTAATACGTGCCTCGAGAGCTATTACAAAGACAAATAAGCAAATGTACACAAAGGGCTCTAAGGTATGAAGCAAGAGGTCTTGTATCTTCTTGCTACTCTAAAAGTGCAAACACAAGATCACTTGAAATGCCTTCAAGAGGTAACACCATCCTCTACATAATCCTAATGGTTCAATGTAATGTAATAGCTTTGGAAAGATGTAGGTGCCTTGACAAATTTTTCTTACATTAGTGAAATTTGGGACATCTTTCTGACACCTTCAAAAGAAACACAGCAATAATGGGAGTAAACACAAGTATTCAGTCCTCCAAAAACCTGTGTTAGACAATCCAAGATTTGGAGAGACATCGCTTCTCTTAAAACAACTTGTAGCTTGGCTGAAGGAGAAAACTTGTGAGTTTGTGCTCTGTTTCAGGTCAGTACTATGAAAGAACTGGACGATCTTCAGCAATATTTTCAGTCAACACAGCAAATATCACTCTTGGCAAACACGTGATGGCAGTATCCATTTACAGGAGAGGGCATTCATCATATGTTCCAATTGCAAGAGCAAGTGCCATTTATGTTGTAACGGGTGAGTGTGCTGGAATAAACTGTAATAAAATATTGCGAGTATTGCTTAGGTGTTAATAGAATTCAGCACAAGCATTATCTAGCAAAAAGAAGACATTGGCCTGAGAAAGGTTTTTAATATGAAAGTGGAATCGCTGGTAAATTGCTTTGAGTAGTGTAATTGACCTTTGTATCTAGCTCAGTTGTGACACCTCTGCTTTGTAATGAAAAATTATTTATGAGAGGAAATGCAGTCTTCCACAGATCCCCGGGATTCCTCATTTGTTTCTCGGTAGCTGTTTCCTACTGACATTCACTCCTCAGATCAGTAAAACGAATTAAAATAGAAACCCATGTTAAGGATATTCATGTCTCACATTCTGGCTGTTGCTGTTCAGGGACTTTGGAGCTGTTTGTTGTTTGCAGCCAGCTCTGTATACTTTAATTATGTACTTCCTTTTTCTTCCCACTCCAGACAAAATTCCAGTATTAGTGAGTATGTTCCAAAAACATGACCGCAACATCTCAGACTCCATTTTTATCAAAGATTCACCAATCACATTTGATGTGAAGATACATGATCCCAGCTACTATCTTAATAATTCTGCCATCTCTTACAAGTGGAACTTTGGAGATGGAAGTGGCTTATTTGTAGCCAGCAGTCCTGTGGTGTCTCACACCTACACTCTGCAAGGAAACTTCACTCCAAATTTAACTGTCCAAGCCATCATACCTGTTCCCTGTAAGCCAGTGACACCCACTGCACCACTGCCCACCTCAGCAGGTAAGAGTTTATTGAACAGCAGTGATATTCAGTTATGCTAAAACTCTAAATTCTGACATTTTAGGTTCATATCTTTAGAAGATTTACTGTCATCAATGAAAGAGCTGCAAAGCTCTGAAAACCCTTTATAAATTGGTTTAGAGACAGAATCAATAAACATAAGCTCTACACTACACTTGATCTTAGTCAAAAGGGCAAGAAGTGACTGGAACAGGTTGCCCAAATAAGTTGTGAATGCTCCATCTCTGGCAGTGTTCAAGGCCAGGTTGGACAGACCCTTTGGCAGCATGGTCTAGTGTGAGATGTCCCTGCCCATGGCAGGGAGGTTGGAACTAGATGATCTTAAGGTCCTTTCCAACCCAAACCATTCTATGATTCTATGAAACTTTTCTATGATTCTATGGTAGACATCACTCACACATTTAACACATGGCACATCATGTTCTGCCATCACAGTGACAGCATATAGAGGTCTTCATTAGGGACTGTAGTGGTAGGACAAGGGGTAATGGCTTTAAACTTAAACAGGGGAACTTCAGATTAGATATAAGGAAGAAGTTCTTCACAGTGAGGGTGGTGAGGCACTGGAATAGGTTGCCCAAGGAAGTTGTGAATGCTCCATCCCTGGCGGTGTTCAAGGCCAGGTTGGACAGAGCCTTGGGCGACACATTTTAGTGCAACGTGTCCCTGCTCATGGCAGGGAGGTTGGAACTAGATGATTTTAAGGTCCTTCCCAACCCAAATCATTCTATGACTCTATGATTCATGTGGACATGCAGTACATACAAGTTTGTTTTTATACCCTCTACCACATCAAGTCAAGAGGTTTTAGCCTTGCCTACTCAGGGTCATCCTCTGAGGTAAGATCTAAATTTTAAGTGAGAAAGCGGTATTTCAGAACATTCTTATAACCAGTTCCTTTCTGGTTTGCATTAATATCCACCCAAAAATAAATGAGATTGGATTAAACTAGAAAAAAAACTTACCCATATTCCAAAATATGGGATTACCATGTAGCACTAATCCGGAGCAGCTTTTCCACTTTAAATTTACACACTATCACATTTCAGAATAACTTTCATTATGTTCAGCATCGGTTTATCATCTCAGAGGGTTTTAAGGTTTGCAAAAGGTCTGCAGTTTCAGCCTGGATAGTTATAATACTATTAAATTGTGAATGTGGCTATATTTTTCAAATTTCAGAATTTCAACATGTGCTTTTACCAAAATGCTGAGTGAGAATGAAAACGATGGAAAGACATAATTTTCCCCACTTCCCCTCTTCATTTTTCCATTAGCTGTAATGTAGAGCAATGGGGAAATACCTTCTTTTAAAGAGAGAATTTAAAACCTTTTATTGGCCTTTGGATTTCTTCTATAATTGATTTGGGAATTTTAAAGAAGTGTTTAATTATATCAAACCTTGCAGGCTCACTTTTATTTCAGAGATGGCTCACTAGCAAGGTGGCTTTTAGAGTGAGGCTACCCAGGCCACCTCAGGGCTCTACAGCTTGGGCACATGTGTTTTCTTTAAGGCTTATTACCATGATCCTCTACAGATACATACATGACTGCACAGCTGCAAACCAAAGTGACTAATGACCTATGTAACAAATGCAGTTGAAATATATGGCCATGTTAAGAATACCTCTATGAAGAACTTGTTCTAAAGCTGTGCATCTATTCTTTCTCCTTCAACTCTGAAGTAATGACTGGAGCCTCTTCTAATGCAGACTATTCTACCACTGCCGAGTCAATGGAAGATGCACCGGATGAAGGTTGCCATATTTACAGAAATGGATACTACAGAAATGGTATCTCTATCGTAGGTAAGGACATGGGTCAACACCTGAACAGAAGAATGGGGTTAACAACAATGTATGGTAGAGATAATATTTATTTAGGCTCAATTTTATCAAATATGTGAGACCCAAAATAAGATCCTTCTCTTGGACATAGCTGACATTTTAAGAGATTAATATACAGACAGCTAACTGGCTGACTTTGGTTTCTTTACACACTCTGCCAGGACCTAATGGCAGAAGTTATAGACCCTTGATTTCACACATGCAAGGGGTAAGCACTGGTCTGGATGCCTGCTGATGGCTGCCTCCATGCTACATGTGGTGTTTCCAGGCACTCAGACTGGAAAATGGCTGGTGGGGATGTGCACTGTATCACTACTTTCTTTATCATCAGCTTCTGAACCTGCCACACCTGAAGCATACTGGCCTGGTAGGAGTCACATAAGGTTGAATTGACCTTGGCTTGCACAGAAGTCACAGGTAGCAGGACAGGGAAGTGACTCAGTAAAATAAATAACTAAATAATAATAATGGAGAAATAGAGCAGAAAGGAGCAGCCTCACAGGGAAAACACTGGAAAATTCCTCAGCTTTCAAACCATTCAAAAGGAGTGCTAAGGGAGGGAGCAAGCTATGGAAAACAAGACCTGAACTGAGCATCAGCCAAACACTTGAGGTTCCATACACACAGACTTCAGAGCTTGTCATGTATTCTGCCATTGACATATGCTTCCTCTCCCAGAGGGAATCCTTGAGGTAAATATTATACAGATGATGAGCATCCAGATGACAGAGAGTCAAGCTGAAAACTCACTGGTTGACTTTGTTGTTACCTGCCAAGGGAGGTAAGTGTGTGAATGAAACTGACAGTCTTCCCTCTTTAATTAGGTGCTGGAACACAGTCTGCACTTAGATGCAGCTGCATGAACAAAAGTTGGGAACTGCAGTGTTTTTACTTCTTGACTGGAACTAAAGATACTGCAAGTCTCATTTGTAAACTATGGCAACAGGGTTTACTGCCAGGCTCTTCGGATTCAGAACAAATGTCAAGCCTCAGTAAAAAAACCCCAGAACTAGATAGTAGAGAGAAACAATTCTGTGTTTTCCTGGCCAAGACAAGACTTCAGCATTTACAGTAAAATGGGAAGCAGTCTACTGAAATTGGAAGGAAACCCTTACTTTTTGGCCATGATTTTTTGACACTGGGTGTGTCCAAGCAATTTCTTGGATAGGAAAACATTGCACTAATATTAACTAGCTCCTAGAAGAGGATTATTGTTGAGAGGACTGAGAAGTACAAGAACTATCTTGGTAATACAAGTGGATAACAATTAACCACTTGTAAATTAGCGTTCACTTTTTTGGCACACAATACTACATATAAGAATCCGCATTCCTTTCTTAATGATGTGTATTAAAGGTAACAGATTTTATAAGATGATTTGAGGCAGGTAATTCTGTGATCACCATAAAATGTTAAATGATATGCAAGACAAACAGATTATTTTATAGATTGTCTATACACATTTTCTAGAAAATCCACAGGTATGTATATATATACAATGTACAGGTATGTATAAAATAAATACAACATACATTAATAAAACTATTATATATAAT